ACTGGGACACCTGGAAGAGGTCACCTCTGCATCCGCTGAGGTCACATCTTAACCTGATGTGGCCACACCTTTCTCCCACCTGATCCCACTTCCTTTTACCTGGACACACCTTTCCCCACCCCCTACCCTATATAAGGCCTAACCCGGGGCCAGATGCCCTCTTTTGCCAGCCGCGTGGAGTGCCATCCTTGCCTGGTCCCAGCAGGTCTACTGAATAAACCTACCCCTTATCTGAATACCATGTGTGTGGTGCTGTTCTTACTTGGCTACCTCTTTTTAAAAACCTAACAGGAACCTTCTCAAGAAAGTTGTTTCCTTATTAACAACTTTGTTGCGGTGGGCTCTCACTCCTGACCACTAGGCAGGCTTGCCTGCGTGAGTAGGGGTCTTCCCACTACAACTTGTCTTTGTGGCTACTTGTCTGTCTTGTTTTCTTTGGTGTGTTTTCTGTTCTATGTTTTCTGAGGTGGGGAAGTTCTGGGTGAATGGAAGCTCACTCAGCAGACTCTGGTTTCAGTTTGCTGAGTGGGAACAGCACAGAGTTCCAAGTTGGGGGCCCATTAATCCCCAACTCAGCCTTTGGTTGTTGTCTTGTTTTGTCCTGTTTTAGAATTGGTACCAGTTTTAAATGTGGATCTTTGGTTTTTGTGTTGGTTTTTGTTATTTATTTGAACATCTCGGGAATAAAAGTTCCAGCCTCCAGCTAGGCTCGGTCACAGACCTGCTATGCCCCCCTCCCTGTGAGGTGTGGAAGGCCGCAGGACTAGGTTGCTGTTTGGTCCCCTTCAAGCCTCAGGCTGAATTTATTGTCTTAATTTAGAAAATGTACGTACAACTGATTGTGAGTTTTGCACGCTTTAAGATCTGTGTGGTTTTTTTTTCATGATGAACAAAGTTTCTTTTTATTGTGAAAATACTGTACAGAGGGATCTGTGTGTTTTGTATGTGTTTGTGAACATGTTCAAGATAAGAATTATAACAATCCTGGGCTGGGAAGCTGGCTCAGTGGTAGAGTGCTTGCCTTGCATGCATGAGGCCCTGGGTTCGATTCCCCAGCACCACATAAGCAAAAAAGAAAAAAAGCCGGAAGTGGCGCTGTGGCTCAAGTGGTAGAGCGCTAGCCTTTAGCTGAAGAGCTGAGGGACAGCGCCCAGGCCCAGAGTTCAGGCCCCACGACTGGACCCAAAAAAAAAAAAAAAAAAAGAATTATAACAATCCGATGAATTTAAGTTTAAAATTCAAAAGGTTATGAGGTTTGGACATTACCAAAAATTTAAAGAATCTCCACATTGTTTTAAGGATTCTTTAACTTGAAAATTAGAAAATCTGGTATTTTAAAAT